ATGAGAGATGCCCTCTCAAAAAAAAAAAAAGAAGAAAAAAAATAATAAAGAATGGGTGGAAGATATGAAGAGACAATTCTCCAAAAAAGAAATTCAGATGGCCAACAGACATATGAAAAGATGCTCCACATCACTAATCATCAGGGAAATGCAAATTAAAACCACAATAAGATATCACCTCACACAAGTAACAATGGCCAGGATCAAAAAGACTAAGAATAAATGCTGGCAAGGATGCGGAGAAAGGGGAACCCTCCTACACTGCTGGTGGGAATGTAAACTAGTTCAACCATTGTAGAAAGTAATATAGAGGCTCCTCAAAAAACTAAAAATAGAAATACCATTTGACCTGGGAATCCCACTCCTTGGAATTTACCCAAATATTATAAGTTCTGAAATTCAAAAAGACATGTGCACCCCTATGTTTATCACAGCACTATTTATAATAGCCAAGATATGGAAGCAACCTAAGTGTCCATCAGTAGATGAATGGGTAAAGAAGATGTGGTACATATACACAATGGAATACTATTCAGCCATAAGGAAGAAACAAATCTACCATTTGCAACAACATGGACGGAGCTGGAGGACATTATGCTCACTGAAATAAGCCACGTGGAGAAAGAGAAGTGCCAAATGATTTCTCTCATTTGTGGAGTATAACAACGAAGCAAAACTGAAGGAACAAAACAGCAGCAGACTCACAGACTCCAAAAAGGGACTAGTGGTTCCCAAAGGGTAAGAGTGTGGGAGGGTGGGTGGGGAGGGAGGGAGAAGGGAATTGAGGGTATTATGTTTAGTACACATGATGTGACAGGTCACGGGGAAGACAGTGTAGCACAGAGAAGACAAATACTGAATTTGTGGCATCTTATTACACTGATGGACAGTGACTGTAATGGGATATGGGTCAGGACTTGATAACATGGGTAAATGTAGTAACCACATTGTTTTTTCATGTGAAAGAGTGTGTATCAGTAACACCTTAATAAATTAATTAATTAGTTTATAAAAGAAGAAAAAGAAAGACATTATATATAATATCTGTCCAGTATTTTTCAAAAGCTTCAAGGTAAATGAAAAACTGAGAAATTGCCACAGACTGGAGGAGACTACAGAGAATGACAACTAAATGTATTATGTGATCCTAGACTAGACACTGGACAGAAAAGAGACATTAGTGATAAAACTGGTGAAATCCTAAAAAATTCTGTACTTTATTTAGTCAATAGTATTGTACCAAGGTTAATTTCTTAGTTTGATAAACATTCTGTGGTTATGTACTATATTAATATAAGAGGAAGCTTAGGAGAAAGATACCTGTACTATTTTTGGAACTCTTCTGAAAGCCTAAATTTTTCTTAAAATAAAAAAATTAACTGTTAAGAAATGTTTTATGGAGTTAAAATATTTAACAGAAAGTAGCAAATTTTCCAGAAAACAATAAAATTCTGGACTTACAGGCCAATACACCTGTCTGTGATGTAACAAGAGATTTCCTTCAATTTAGAAAATATAAGTTTATAAACTAAATACTGTGCCTAAAGTATGTGCCAGAAAGCCTTAGTCATTTTATTCCACAACGATAATTAACGAAAGGGAAGAGAATAAAAAAATGAAATGTTCTATAAAAAAGATTAGATCTTTTAATTTGTCCTAAGAAAATGTAAGCGGAGAATTTACAACTCCACTTAACTATCACCAGTACTCACTATTTCATGTTCTAATTTCTGACCCTATTTCCTTATACTAAACTAAAAACTGCTTTACATTAGCCTCATGTGGTAAAAACCTTAGTCTAAAAAGCCACAGAGACAATCTAATCCAGGGTTATCACAAAGTGCTGTCCTGGGCCAACAGCATCAGTGTCTCTAGGAAACTGTGTTAGACATGTAATTCTATATTCCACTCCAAAACTTGATTCAGAAACTCTAGTGGTGGAGCCCTGAAGCACGGTTTTAACAAGCTCTCCAGATAATTCTGACATAGGCTAAAATTTGAGAACCACTTATCTTATCCAATTCCCTCCCTGTAAAGATGATTTCCATAAAGGCGTAAGATTTCTTAGACGTGACCATGCCTAAAACCTCTGGGCATCCAACCCCCAGTCCAATGCATTTATGACTTACCCCACACTGTCCCACTATAGGTTCCAGTTCTCACCTCTGGGACAATAAAGCATAAGATTGAGTTTCCATTTCATAACAACAACATCTCAATTATCCTATCTCCCTTTCCCACCACCAATTTCTGTTCTGGTTCCATCAACTGTTTGTCATGGTATAGTTTTATTTTGTCTTGCCTAAAATTCATCCCTTTAAATGAAGTACAACACTCCTGTAGCAATAGAAGCCAAAAGAATTAGATACCTAATTCCTTAAATTGATTCCAAGTATTATTTTAAATAGAACTAAACAGTGTTTATCATGTATCTTCTCTATTCCATCATTTGCCTCCTTCTTGTATTTAGAGAAAGTATTATTCAGCACCTCAAAGCAATCAACTAATACTGATTTCTGTATCCTGACATCAAGGGCCAATCAAACGCTCTATGTCCCCACTTCTTCTGATACACTGTGCATAAACATGTAAAAGTGAGCAAGACACTATGAAGTATGAGTAAACTCCAAAAATATGCACAATAAACTGAGAGGAAGATGGAGATTACGTCAATCCTTTCCTTGACAAATCAAAATCAAGAGCAAAATTAACCCAAGGAGTTTATCTGTTAAACATTCGAAAAATAAAATTTCAAATAAGCATAAATTAGATGATAAAATAATTTGAGCTAGAGACAACCTGGATAACCTTAGCTTACCAAAACTTCAAATTTCAAAATAAGAAAATTTGAATAAGCTAGTGACTAAATTCTTACCAGGCGTGGTGTGGTATCTTCATCACTGTCTCCATCCTGACTGCTTTCCACATCAACACTGAAAATCACTGTATTTGAAGTGCTCTCCTGTTGTTGCTTACTTTCAGTAGGAACATCTAAGAATGATTTTTGCAGAGTAGATTCTGACTTGGAAGATATGACTTCCATTTTTGGAGTTAAGATCCTTCTGCAAGTTTTCTTTATTTTAGTCTTCTTACATAACACTTCATTGTTAGAATTCTTATTTAATAGAGATTTGGGGCTCTTAAATTGGTCTGGTTTGTAATTACTGAGTGAAAAGGGGACAAGATAGGCCTTGGCTGTTCTTTCTAAAACTGTAGTCTGTACTGGTCTCACAGATACGTAAGCGATGTTTTGATTTTCTTTATATTCATTCACCTATTCAGGTCAATAAAGGAAAACAGAGTATTAGAAACACAAGTATGCCTTTTCTTACAGATCTGTGGAAATAAATTCAATTCCTATTTCATGATGAGAACATAAATTCAAGCTTATAGACTGTAAGGCAGCTTTTTTCCCTCCAAAATGTAGATAACTAATTCATTAATCTGAATAGAATTATTTATTATACTGGGCACATTTCTTGCCCATATAAGTCTGCCAGAACAACAATAAAAATGACAACAGTTTGTAACTAAGGAGACTACCCCAACTATCAGTTTCTGAGTAACTGAAACTTTCAAAAATCGGAACCTGACAACTGCTGCAAAAGCAAATACATAGTCCTTAATCCCATCGGGACACTATTTCTAGGGTTACTGCTAAGAACCTTCCTCAACGCTGAAGGCCTAAGCTCCTGAGAGGAAAGCCTGGGCAGGGTCTCCGCACACCTTTCAAAGCAAAACCCCAAAAAACCCGTTAGGCTGAGGGTTGCCCCAAGGAGCAGGAAAATTCTGGAGTGGGCAAGTGCCCGATGCCAAGTCCTCACGCCCTCCTGGGCCTGTGCCCGGCCGACCTCTCAGGAAGACTGAGGCAGGGGCGCACCCACTTCTCACCTTCACCTGAGGTCGCTGTCTGGGGCCCGCCTTTTCCTCAGCCGCCGCGCAGGACCCCGACATCTTTCCGCTGAGTAGCAACTGGCGCCTTCCCGCCAAGATCGCGGCGGGAGGCGGGCGGCGGGCGGCGGGATGGAGGGGCGGGGCGCGCGGCCGCACAGGCGGGCTCAGGCCCCAGCTGGCCAGAGGGGGCGGGGACGTTACGGTTGTCTCTTCAGGAAGCAAGTTTACTCGCCCCAAACTCAAATATCTTAGAGATGCGGTTGGATCAAGCCAGCGTTTTTACCTTGGATCCCGGTGGTTTTGTCGCTGCTGATGCCAGTATCTCGCCTTGAAAAACACTTGGCGCTTCTGCTGAGGAAAATTCACCTGCCTTGTAATGTGAACCTGGAATATTATCAGACACACTTAGAAGCTGAGTGGAATAGAGAGGAAAGGAAATCAAAATCAACAATGCTGCCTTTACGCTGGCCCCCTAGTTCCTTATAACCCTACCATCAGAAAGCTATGCCCTATTATCTTCCTCCTTAAAAGAGAAGCATTTTGATTTTTTTTTTCAAGAGCTGGTGTTAATTCCATCTGATCTTCTGACCACCAGTTAACTAAGGTCCGTCCTTACGTTAACCTTACTAAGGTCAAGGCTGGGGGAAAGTTGTGAATCAAATAATTTTTGCATCACATAACATAAATAAGAGTTTATGGCACTGCATTTCTTACAGTCACAGCCACATCACATTTTTCCTCCTATTCGCTGGGTTGCCGCGCAAAATAATTAATTGCCTTCCCATTAGGTTTGCTCTCTCCAGACAGAGTAGTTTCAGAGCTGATAAATTCATAAACTCCTAAAGTCATAATATAAACTTCTTTCTACTATATGTTTTTAAGGTCCTTTTCTTTCTAGCCAAAACCGTTAGCCTGCTTGGTTATTTCAGTCCTCCACTGTTCCTTCCTCGAGACTTACCCAATTTTATTTCTTCTCCCAGCCTACACCTTATTTTAGAACACAGGTGAAATAATTTGAGAACTGATTGTACTAACAGCACCTTCGAGACCCTCCATGATCTAGTACCTGAAAAACTCTTAACTCCTCCTTGACTTTAAAATGACAAAATCAAACTTTTCATTGTCTGATATATCATGTTATTTCTGGACTTCACAACTTCGCTCTTACTGTCACTTCTCTCCCACCACAGCAGTTAAAACATCCTTTCTATGGTGAAATGTATTCTGACCTCCAGTTAGCCAATGTTTTGTTTTTCACAAAACCAAGCTAATAACTGCAGTTGCTTCTCATGATTCTATAAGCCCTTAGAGATCTCCTAAACAGAATTCAAGCTTCTTGAGGACATGAGCCTTTTTTTAAAATAATTTTTTGTTAAGGTGTGATTGATATACGCTCTTATGAAGGTTTCACATGAAAAAACAATGTGGTTACTACATTTACCCATATTATCAAGTCCCCACCCATACCCCAATGCCGTCACTGGAGGACATGAGCCTTTTAACAATATTCAATACTCCATAGAGAGAGCTAAGCACAGTAAACGCAGCAAGCACTTAATAACTACTTTGGACTTACTATGCAAACACTCCCCAGCAAGAAATGTTTTAATAGGAGGTCTTAAGAAACTGAAAGATCTGGAAAACCTAAACGCAGAGTGTTTGGATTTCAGGCATTTTCCTAGGCCCCTTGGGGGCCTTTTTTTTTTTTTTTTTGCCACTAGCCTAAATCACCACCAACTTCTCTCACTTGACGGAAAAATACGCGTCACACACAGCCCACTCATCCTCATCAAGGGAGCTAACCAGGTCCTACTTAAAAGATTTCTAGTCCTATTTAACTCTAATTGTGACCATTCGGTAGCCTGGTCAAACCGCCCTTTACTATCTCCTCAGTTTCTTATTCATCACTCTCATTTTTCTCGGCTTCAAATCAAGCTAACAAACGAAATCTTTAATTCGAACCTGCCTCGCCGCAGGATGTTAACAGCAGAGCCCCCAAATAGCATTTCCCGCCAGAAGTGGCGTCCAAATATCGCGAGACAAAGGGCGCTTGGGTGGCCTATAAACATGCGCAGCAACACATTAGCGCTCTAGAGGGTAGGCGCCCAGACGTCCTCCACAATCCCACAAGCCTCTGGTTGGTTGCATATTTCCGGTTTCTCTAGCTCAGGCGTAGGTGGTGTTTCTATCAGTCACGCAGCAGTGTCCGGCGGCTCTTGGTGTGGAGAATCTTTCTGTTGTCGACGTTGTCGTTGTTTTCTGGAGTCAGTCAAGTTTCGGGAGTCACTGCTGCTGTCATCAACATGTCGGTCCCAAGCGCACTAATGAAACAGCCTCCTATTCAATCTACGGCTGGGGCCGTCCCTGTTCGCAATGAGAAAGGTACTGTGCTAAGCCGTTTCCAGTCGGATCTTACCTCTTCCTTCCCCAGCGTACTCCAAACCTACCACTGCAACCCCACCGACCCTTAAGACCCTGTCCCCTATTTCTTACACTTTTCCCAACAAACTCATACCCGATCGCGTTGCTTAAGGGATAAGGAAATAGTTCCATCTCATCTTGTTCCTATAGCTTGTCTGCCCTCAGCTACAGCCAGCACCCTCTTCCTTTGGCCTCCAACAATTCGTTAGACTATTATATAAGCCTTGCTGTTGTCAGGGAGTTGTGCGGGACACAATCCCTCTTTTATTATACATAGCAGTCCTTTATGCTGCTTTTGTAACTCTTGTCATAGTTATTAATATGTCTTTCTTCCTCTACTACATCATAAACTTATAACCTCCTAGAGTTAGGAACATTTCGTTTACCCTTTTCAACCAACGCAGTGACTGTATTTATTAAATTGAACACAACGTTGTGTAAGACAGTGCTCCTTATCTTAAGGAACTTATATTGTAGTAGATGTGAGACATACAAAAACAGGCACATTCTCAGCAGTGTACAGTTTTTCACACCTGTAACACCTGTCACATAGGTACTACAAACCAAGCGCTGTTGGAGAGCAGAGAAGGAATAATCTCATATTGGGATAATCCAGGAAAGTCTGTGAAGAAGGTTGCCTTTAAACTGATCTTTAACAAATGGGTAGGAAGTCCAGTGGTGCAGATGGCAGAAGGAACACTGTCTCTGTTTGGGGAGTCAGACTAAAAAAAGTCAGTTTTTTAAGTAAAGACTTTGGAAAATAATGTCAGTTCTTTCCTTTTTTGGTATTTAAATATACTGTACCTGTCCTTGTGCAACTTGCCTTTTCTTTTTTCTTTTTAAACTCAAAACATGGCTTTTAAGAAGATCCTTCAGATACATATAGATCTAATTCATTCACTTTACTTAAGAATTCCATTGTATAGTTAAACCACAGTTTATTCCCTACATTAGGAGTTTGTTGTTGGGTGTTTTTTTCCTCCTATTACAGACAGTGCTGCAACTGTCATTCCTGAACGTGTCCCTTTAGTCTACTTGTGTAAGAATCTCTCTAGGGTAAATAGACTCCTAGAAATTCATTATCTGCTTAGGTACCTATTGCCAGTTGCTCTCCACAGTGGGTAGTAAGAGCATCAGGAATTTTTATTTCCCTATGTATTCATCCACACACTTGGTTGTATCAGATTCTTTAATTTTTGCCCAATATAGTGGGTGTGAAATGGTGTCTCATTATTTTAATCTGCATTTCCCTGATTACTGGTGAGACTGAGGCATCTTGTTTGTTCATTTATCAGTTCTACGTTTCCTCCTCTATAAACTGTTTCTGTCATTTACCCATTTTCTATTTGGTTTGTTTTTTATACATCCTAAATCTGTAATATCTGTTTCTCTGGGTTTTTGGCTTGTCTTTTAACTTGAATTATGGAATCTTCTGTTACACAGGTGTTTTTAATGTTAGCAGGTTTATCAACTTTATTTTTTATGGCTTGTGCTGTTTTGTGTATTAAGAAATCGTCCCATACTACACTGATACTAAATTTACTGATGTTAAATATAGATATTAAAATTACAAAGATTTTCTATCCTTTTTTTGTATATACTAAATAAGATTGAATACACAGCTGTGCAAGACAGACATTGATTTAAGGAGCTTACAGTCCCTTAGAGATGTACATATTTAAGATGTTTCTTGCACACTTAGGTATTTAATCCATATGGAATTTTTTATGTGTATAGTGTCAGTGAGATACCTAATTTTACTATTCACTTTATGGTTAGCCAATTGTCCCTACTACTTTATTGTTGGACTAGCCCACCCATTCTCCACTGCTTTTTAATGTCGCCTCTTTAACATACCAAATTCTTGAATAGGTTTGTTTCTCTGATCTCTACTGTGCTCCATTGGTCTCTACATACCCTGAGTCAATGACATTGTTTTAATTACTGTAAGTTTAAAATTAAGCCCTGCAATCTGATACAAAAACCCTCCCTTCCACCTCACCTTCTATTTTTTTCATTAACACTTTTTTTAGAGCAGTTTTAGTTCATAGAAAAGAAGAAAATACAGAGATTTCTCATAAGACTCCTAACCCCACACATGTATAGCCTCCCCCATTGTTAGCATTCCGCACCAGAACAGTACATTTGTTAAAATAATGAACCTATATTGACACATCATAATCACCCAAAGCCTATACATTAAGGTTCACTCTTGTGGATTTGGACAAATGTGTGATAACATATCCATCATTATGGTATCATACACAGTATTTTCACTGCCCTAAAAATCCTCCCCCTGCCCAGCCTCTGGCAACCACTGATCTGTTTACCTTCTCCATAGTTTTGCCTTTTCCAGAACGTCATATATTTGGGATCATATAGTATGTAACATTTTCAGATTGGTTTCTTTCACTTAGTAATATGCATTTAAGGTTCCTCCAGGTGTTTTTGTGGCTTGATAGCTCATTTCTCTTTAGTACCAAGTAATATTCTATCATCTTTACCATGCTTTATCCATTCACCTAATGAAGAACATCTTGAGTGCTTCCAAGTTTTGGCAGTTATGAACAATGCTGCAATAAATAGCAGTATGCAGGTTTTTGTGTGGACATAAGTTTCCAAATCCTTTGGGTAAATAACAAGGAGTGTCACTGCTGGATTTTATGGTAAGAGTATGCATAGTTTTCTAAGAAACCACCAAACTGTCTTCCAAAGTGTCTGTACCAATGCTGCCATGGCTCCACATCCTCACCAGCATTTGGTATTGTCAGAGCTCTGGATTTTAACCATTCCAGTAAGTGTATGATGCTATCTCATTATTGTTTTAATTTGCATTTGTCTGATGACATATGATGTGTTTTTCTGCCATCTGTATCTTTTTTGGTAAGTTGTCTGTTAAGGTCTTAGGCCTCACTTGTTACTCAGAATTGCCTTGGCTCCTTTTGGCCTCCTATTCTTCCATATGGTATTAGAATCAGCCTGGGGACAACTTTTAATGGAATTACAATTATAGGTCATTCAATTATTAATTCAGGTACATTTGCCACCTTCTCATCCTTAAACATGATATAGGTCTCCCATTTATTTAGATCTTTATATCTTTAAGTAGAATAATATATTTTTTCCTCCTAAAAGCTTTGCACATCATTTGTTGAATGTATTCCTTGGTATCTTATAGATTAGTTGCTGTTGTAAGTGGTATTTTTAAACTGCATTTTTAAATTATGTGTAGCTAATGTACAGGTACACTTATTTCTATTCAGTTTCTTCCTGAATTCTTTTTTTAGCTTGTCTGTTGGTTATTTTCTATGTCTACATAGATAATCATATAGTCTTACAGCAGTTTTTTCCTTTTCAAGCCTTACCTTTTATCTTTCTTTTCTTGTTGTCGTAATTAGAACCATACAAAAATGTTAACTAGAAGATGTTATAGAGACAACCTAAGGGTGACCACGTTTTTTTTAAGTAATGCTTCTAATGTTTTATTATTAGATATAATTTTTACTGTATCTATCATTATGATTATGTGACTTTAAATATGTAATAAAGAGTATGTTACTTCCACCCACTCCAACCCCCACCCTGATCCCCATTAATTTTCTAAGGTTAAGTCATCCTAAACTAAATCCTATTAGATCATGATGGCTTAGAGTTATTTTGTTAGTTCTTGCATTCTGGAATAAGTTTTCTATTATGTTATTTAGCATTTTTATATCCATGTTTATAAATGAAAACCACCTTAAGTTTTCCTTTGATCTATTCAGTTAGGTTATCAAGGTTATATTCATCTTACAAAGTGTTTTGATTAGTTTTCACTGTTTATTCACTGGTATTGTTGGTATTTGTACGAGATTATGTATTCTTGCAGGTGTGATAGCACATAAACTAACAGAAAAGAAGGTAGAAATAGATAAGATTAGAAGATTGAGTTACGTAGCAATATATCATAAAGGCTACATGGGAAATTCCAGAGGAACTAAAAGAATTAGCAGTATTTTAATTTTATGTACCCACTTAAGTCACCCTTACTGTGTAATGGGCACTGGTATAAATAAATCATTTAAGGGTATAGTTGAGGTAGAATACCATGAATTTGTGATGGACATAGTCTGCCTGTTTGAGGAGACTTTTTTCTATTGTTTCACCACCCAGCTTTCTCCACTTCATTGTATCCAAGCTAGGCCTCATTATCACTAATGTTGGTGTTCACAAGAATGCCTTCCCATGACTTGGCCTTTGTAGGAAAATAGCATTAGAGGAACAGATCGTTGGGTATTAGCTCTTTCCCTGCTCGAATTCTTGTTTACTAGGAATACAGGGCTCTACCTGCAAAGGCCAAGGGCTGAAGGACATTGGGAAAGGGACTACTGAAACGTACTACTTTCTCACACAGGTGAGATTTCAATGGAGAAAGTGAAGGTAAAACGTTATGTGTCGGGCAAGAGGCCAGACTATGCTCCTATGGAGTCCTCAGATGAGGAGGATGAAGAATTTCAATTCATTAAGAAAGCCAAAGAACAAGAAGCAGAGCCTGAGGAACAGGAGGAAGATTCATCTAGTGACCCTCGGCTACGGCGTTTGCAGAACCGTATTAGTGAAGATGTAGAAGAGAGGTAATGCTAGGGTTGTTTCCCTAGACCTGAATCCCTCAGGTTAATTAATAAGATTTGTGCATTTTATTGTGTAAAAAAATCAGTAAGAATAACAATAATAGCTAATACTTGACTAGTCCTTACTGTTCAAGTATGCTTGCTATGCCAGACACTATTCCAAGTACATTACAGTTACTAAATCTTGTAATCCACACAATATCCTTATGAGGTGGGTATTACTATCCCCTTACAAATGAGGGAACAGAAGCACAAAAGGGTTAGGAAAATAATGTGACCAAAGTTATATAGCCAGTAAGTGGTAACCAATAAACAGCAGGTTACCTCTGGCCCAAAGGCCCTACTAATTAACTCACTAAGAGAATAGAAAACAGACCATTGGTTGGTTTGTTAAGGAGAGTCTTTTAATACAAATGTGTTTTGTAAGATATGAGAAATTAATTTTATCCATTTACTTATTCTAAAGATTAATGAGGGGAAATGACACTGATAAAGTAGGAAAACAGGGCTGATGAATGGTTTCATGTAAGAAAAGAAGCCTCCCAAAGAGGGATTTTTCTGTGTTGCATATTAATTGAGATATCACCTTAAGAGTAGGCCAGGGGTCCTGAACTTTCACAGTTCATAGTGTCTTGGGAATTTTTTCACAGAGCCTTTAGGCCCAAACAGTTCTGCTTATTAAGTAATTAGAGCTGAATAATTTAATAAATATTCATGACCCAACAACTTAGTAATTTGAAAACTATAATACATATAAAATAAAAAACATGTTTATTTCATTCTTACATAACCACGGTTACTTAATTGTGGGATTTATGTGCCTCTTGGACACTGACAACTTCTCAAACCTTAGAATCGGATTGGCACTGTCACTCTCATTTCCTGTTGCATATTGATTTTCACTCAGTACTTTTTATCACAGCAGCCACCAAAAACCCACTTTCACAAAGATCTGATATTAAATGAAACCTATGATCTAATGTTGAAACTGTGACTTATCTTGAGCTATAAAATATATCCCAGTGTACCCATATATGTTTGTTGCAGTGCCCCAGGATGCAGTAGCATACATTTAATATTTCAAGTCCAAGCTGTTTGCTCCCAACACTTTGAGTTAATTTCCTTAATCTGTACCTTAGTTTCCCTATCTCAAGACTTCAGTATTAATAAAAGCACACATGTGCAGGTGCTCTAATAACTAAGGAAATGTGATTGATGCCCCTTCATTTCTGTGACATTGGTGTTACACTTGGAGATACTGTTTTTCAGATTGGCTAGACATCGGAAAATTGTGGAACCTGAAGTGGTAGGAGAAAGTGACTCAGAAGTAGAAGGAGATGCTTGGCGCATGGAACGAGAAGACAGCAGTGAAGAAGAAGAGGAAGAAATCGATGATGAGGTATGATAAAAGAAAATGGAAAATTCTTTCTGGGTACAAGAAAAAGTTGGAGCCTATGCTCCTTTGTTAAGGCCCTAAAGGCACAAGATTGCTGCTGTTGGTGGAGTGCTGATCCAGTGTTCCCCGTTTGTTGGTGTTAGGATTGAAAGTAGAATGGTGCTAAGTTGCATTTACACATACCAGAATTCTTTGAGTTTGATGAGGAAAAAATTAATAGCCATGTTACAGCCATTTGGCTGACTGGCTTGGACATTTGACTTGATAGGAAATAGAACGGCGTCGTGGCATGATGCGTCAACGAGCACAGGAGAGAAAAAATGAAGAGATGGAAGTCATGGAGGTGGAAGATGAGGGCCGTTCTGGGGAAGAGTCAGAATCAGAGTCTGAGTATGAAGAGTACACAGACAGTGAGGATGAGATGGAGCCTCGTCTTAAGCCAGTATTCATTCGAAAGTGAGTATCTCACAAACCAGACCTGAATTCCCGTCATTGCTACTTTCCAGGTCTAACTATAGAAGTTGTTTTTTATCTCAGGCTCTTCTGAAATGTATGCACTAAGTGAAATTCTTCTGTCCAGTGCTCTAGCTCTGCAGAGTACTTACTTCAGAATATCTTGGTGTTAGCAGAGAGCCTGAGTTTGTTTTCACATCTCCTGTTTCCCTAGAGCACTTATCAATGTCTTATATTAACCACAAAATTAAGCTTGAAGAGCAAATTCCTGTTCTTTTCCTAATGGCTAGAAATTCTGCTGCTTGCATTTCTCATAGATGAATGGAAATTTGATGCTCTAAAGAACTGTGGTGAATTCCATTTTGGCCCTTTGCAAATAACAGAGCCAGGGGTTGGTTGGTTGTCTGATTTGGGTGGGACTTGATTTAGGGGCTCAAAGAGCTCCACACTAAGGGCTTTAGGCAATTAACAGGACCTCTGTGCTACAGGAAGGACCGAGTAACGGTTCAAGAACGTGAGGCTGAAGCATTGAAACAGAAAGAGCTGGAGCAGGAGGCAAAACGCATGGCTGAGGAGAGGCGCAAGTACACACTGAAGGTACTTGGAGTGGCTATGAGTAGTAGAGTACTTAGGTTTGTCTGAAGAGAATAAGGAAGTCCAATAGTCAGATTTTTCTCCCTATCCAGATTGTAGAAGAGGAAACCAAGAAAGAACTAGAGGAGAACAAGCGGTCCCTCGCTGCACTGGATGCACTCAATACTGATGATGAAAATGACGAGGAAGAATATGAGGCATGGAAAGTTCGGGAGCTTAAGAGAATCAAGAGGGACAGAGAAGATCGAGAAGCGTGAGTATTAGGATGGGCCTAGGGTTTAATACTGGTCCTAGTAGGGTAGCCTTGAGGCCCAACACCTATGAGTTCCATCCTAGCTTTCTTTAGGGTTCCTGCACCTGGGCGAGTTTCCCATAATTAGAATATAGCCTGTTAGAATAAAATCAGAGAAAATAAATACATTTTGTCAGTGTTTCTCCATGATAGAGTGCCACCTAATATTCCCTTTAGTTTCCCAGTAGACATACAGAAGTTACTCACTGTTACCAGTTAACTACTGTTGCATAGCAATCCAACCCAAAATTAAGTGACTTGAAACAATTATTTCTCACAATTTTGGAGGTTAGCTAGCAGCTCTGCTGTTGGTTTCGCCTGGGCACTCTTAGGCAGTTGTATTTAGCTGGAGGATTGACTGGGCTAGAAAGTCCAGAATGACTTCACTTGTATGTCTGGTAGCTGGTGCAGATTGTCAGCTGGGATGCCTCACTTGTCCTTGTTCAGTAGGATAGACTCAGGGCAACATTCCAGGAGGGCATAGGTGGGAGCTGGCAACATCTTTTGAAGTTCAGTGTCATTTCTGCAAAGGGGCATGCATACTAATGTGCATCCAAACTAATCTACCACACCCACTATGTTACGGCAGAATCACTCCTGAGCTGCATCACTCATTCTTGAAAAATTACTTGGAATGAGAGGTGAACCCAGATTACAAAGGGAAACCATCAATAGGAAACTGTCCTCAGCCTGCAGTTTCTAAGGTTTTTATCCTGGGCTTCAGGGAGTCCATGTACCTTTAAAATTGTACGTAAAACTATGTGTATATTTGTATTTCTCTGAAGTAAGGGGGTCTCTTACTCCCCCACCACCAAAAAAGTTGAATTCACCTCAGTCTAATGATGGTAATTCTTGGTTTGTGACATGTAAGTACATTTCTGATTACTAAAAGAATACCAGTAAAATCTTAGGAGTTTCTTTAAGTTCTGAGTTTTTAAAAGCTAAAAAGTCTTTTCAGGGAAGGGCAATTGTAATGTTGCAAAAAATCAAGCAGTAATAGTATGTCTGAACTTCAGGAAGCCTAGAATCACCTTTTGGAAGTTTGCAGTACTTGGTCTTGAAAGCATAATAAAGACCACCTCATCTTCTTTATTGAACTTCTGATCCTGATTCCTCCCAGGCAATGACTAGAACTTAAAAAGCTGTCTAATGCTTAAAAGGAGATAGTACTGTATTACTCAGATAATTGGGTCTTTCTGAAGCTAGAATGATATTAATAAGTAGTTTTTTTCTCCGGACAGGCTTGAGAAGGAGAAAGCAGAAATTGAACGCATGAGAAACCTGACTGAGGAAGAGAGGCGAGCTGAGCTTCGGGCAAATGGCAAAGTCATTACTAACAAAGCTGTTAAAGGCAAATACAAGTTTTTACAGAAGTATTATCACCGGGGTGCCTTCTTCATGGTAAGAAGTGAATAGGGAATGGGAAAGTTGGGCAGGAGAAATAACTCAGAAGCTTTGAATTCTTCCTCCCACTTCTCCTCCTATCAAGGAATAAAAAGGTCCTGGGATGTTACTTCCACTTGCCAGTGGTTAACTTTCTGTTTTGCTTTTTGCCCCTGAAGAATATAAACCCAGTAGAGGCACTGGCAACAGGATTTTAGAAGTAGCAGCAACTGTTCTCTCTTTTGGCTCCAGCTCTCCAAAGGAGGAAATTATATAATAGAAGAATTGAGGAACTAAAATAGGATTAGTAATCTATATAAATACTAGACAATTTAAGTTCCCAGAATCTCTTAGATTTTATTATTCATATCTCAAAAGTGAGAAATTTTGGTTGTGCAAAAACCAAACCGCAAATAGCTTTACATTAATGGATATTTGGGTGGCAGAAGTTTAATTCACTTCATTCTGAGCTGACAGAAAGTGACTAAGCCTAACTAACCAAAAAATGGTTAATTATCTAACCATTATGTGTAATGTTGTCATTTTCATTCTTCATATAAAGGCTAAGGTCAAAAGGCCAAAGTCTGTTAACCCTGTATAGAGACTAGAATTTCTTCCAAAATATTTGGGTTAACACCAGTGTAATTCGTTAATAGAGAGCAGCAGGGGAATAGGAGAATTGATTGCATTTATTACATCTGATAGCATGTGGTTTGTAAAATTATTTCCTCATGTTAAAGGAGTACCAAAACTAGCTTTTTCAAATGCCATATATTACACCCTAAATATTTCCACTGCAGGTAAATTCCTGCCTTTCACTGTAGATACCAGTAAAATTTTAAAACTTCAGTGAAGGATTCCTTATACCCCTACCCCCTCAAAATCAATTTCAGTCTATATGCTCAGCAGGAAATGTTTGCTTTGTTAGGTAGTTTTGAGCACATACAGATTTCTGCATTGGAATTGGTGGTTTCTGAATTCTTGCACAGCTTTGATGTTACAAAATATTATTACTTAAGTATTTCAGCAGCTTTAATGATGAAGCTTCTTAGAGCAGCAGTGCCTTGCTGCCTAAGATTCATAAGGAAATGTTTATGTGAAAGTCTTTTGGAGCACATAATCATCTATCAACTGTTCTCATGTAGTTGAAATGGCTTGTGAGATTAAATGAGACACTCTCAGGCTCTTAACAAGGGGAAAAGTAGATCTGTTTGCCTTACCTTTACACTGGGCCTTTCTATAGCTGAAGTGAAAAGAGTACTCTAAATTTTATTTGTTTAAAGGGCTCAGCTCTCCCATGAAACTTTCCTTAACCAAGATAGTGCTATTTTAATTCCTTCAGCACGCTTATAGTTTGTATCACGTACAGCCTTACTAATGTGTTGATTTCAAACTATTCTCCATAATTTTTAACATAGTTCATTAATTACCCTTTGTAGCATTTACATGTTAAGGGCCCTGCTGTTTAGTACTGCTGGAGAGTACATACTCCTTGCCCTCAGACAGCTTACAATCTAAAAATGGAGCTAAGGCAAATATATGCTATAACACAAGAGTCAAAGTACTGTCAGACTTCTGAAGAGGGAGATGTTGTATTTGGTAGAAGATTGAAAAGGATGACAGAGAGAAGGTGACATTTGAGATGTTTAGACTTTCTGACATTCAGTGGTGGGAAGACATTCGAGGTGAAGGGACCAGTAGAGGAGGCAAAAAGTATCATCTATAAAGGGAAGTAGCAAGGAGAAATAGATTAAAGGTAGATAGTATTTGGTCTTGATTGCTATACAGAGGAGTCATGCTTATTTAATAAAACAGAACCAATGAAAAATTTTGAGCAAAGCAAAGGTTTAGAGAGTTGTTTTAGAAGCCATCCAGTGGCTGTATAAGACTGATTTCAGGGAACATCTGTAACACAAGTGATAAGAATTTGTAGGAAGTAGCAGCTGATTGAATGTGTACAAAGATTGCTCAAATTTTAAATCTAGTTGAGAAAATGTTGATCCTATTAACAGGAAAAGTTAAATCAGAAAGAGGCTGATTTGCAAAGGTTGGAATTATTTTTCCTTTAGATGTGAGTTTGAATTCCCACAATATCCTAGCTAAGAAATATAATGGGTAATAGAAAACTCAGGATCAAAATTTGAGCAGTCTGTATGAAGTTATGAGTGAATGAACATATTAAGTGCAGTGAAAATATAGCCAACCTTCAGGAAATGTCTACACTTGGGAAGATAACAAAACAAAGGAAAAAAAGTATTGTCTCTACTAGAAGCACTTGCAGAAAAGATTCTATACCCCTGCTTTCTTTGTGTCCTTTGTTTTAGAGTTTAATAAGTATATGGTTTGGATATATGGGAAATAAAACCCAAAGACTGATAAAACTCTTTTCAACAGGATGAGGATGAAGAAGTATACAAAAGAGATTTCAGTGCACCCACCCTGGAAGATCATTTCAACAAAACCATTCTTCCCAAAGTTATGCAGGTATGGAGTACCTTAAAAACATGAAAAAAGGAGTATGTTGAGGGCTGGGACATGATAACATTTGGTGGTATAACTTACTGTCTTTCCCTCAGGTCAAGAATTTCGGGCGCTCTGGTCGTACCAAATATACCCACCTTGTGGATCAAGACACCACCTCCTTTGACTCAGCATGGGGCCAAGAGAGCGCCCAGAACACAAAGTTCTTTAAACAAAAGGCAGCTGGGGTACGAGATGTATTTGAACGTCCTTCTGCCAAGAAACGGAAAACAACTTAAAGTTCAACTACTTACTCTTCCAGCTGAAGGACAAAGGGAGGTCTCAGAACCTGGCCCTTGATTTGCTCTTAATGTTATATAAAGGGCCCCTGTAATTCAGCCTGTTGGACCTACCACCATACTTGTGACACTGGGCAACCCAGTTTTTGAAGGTGTTTTGTGAGGTTTGGACTCATGCTGAGAAACCCACAGGAAAGCACTAGGCAAGTAGGAGTAGAGGCTTCCCACATAAAACTCTTTCTGAGAAATGTTAGGTTTCATCACAGCTCTGGCTTCCCAAATTTACTTGGGACTGTTCCACGTTTTTCTGGTGCCTTAGCTTGGGCTAGAAACATGAGCATGTAAGTTGTGGACTGTTACCTCCACCATACAGGAAACCTACGCTCACTGCATTTTTGGAGTCAGCTTTTCTAGGTGATCATACTTTTGAACCATTCGTGTGTATGTATCAAGAAATAAAGGAATCATACACCAAGAGGCTTTTAGAATGATACTGCAGATAAAATGTGTAGGCTGACAAGTATCAACCCGTTAATTAAAAGCAGGGAATTGTCAGGAAAGGCTTATCTCACATTTTGACCATTCCCTTTTTCTCATAGGCTCAGATGCTAGACTAGCTGTATTCTGAGTGGTACCCAGATTTATTCCATGGGCAAATACATATATGGTTGTCCTTGCTCTCTATAAACTGTAGCTATATATAGAACAAATGTTGACCCATGAACTGGAGAAGCCAAGTACCTACCAGTGTCTTCTTGCCCAGCTCAAATATCAAGGAAGGCATAGCACTGTCCATGTTGCAATGTAGTGACAACACACTGAAGTTAAATTCAGTGATTTTTCCATTTAATATTTAAACAATAACAAACCTGCACATGGCAGAGCACTAGGTGCTTTGAGAAGTGACATTTAACCAATAGGAAGACTATTTCTCAATTGCATAAAAAATGGGAAGGACAAGGTCTTTTCACCCTTTAAATTCTTAAATGTCCTAGAATTAAAAGTATAAATAATTACTATGGGGTAATAAACACATAAGGATGAGTATGTCACTGTTATGTGTGCCAGAGGAGGATAAAATCTAAGAATTATTGTAGAACCAAAAGACCTTGAAATTCTTTTGGGAAAGAGTGTTTATTGCTGCCATTTGAATGTCCTCTGAGGCAGATAACTAGGCTAAGCTTTTTACATTCACCAGCTCATCGATTCTTGTAATAACCCTATGGGTATGTATCATATTATAGTTGAGAAAACAAGCTCAGCAAGGGTGACTTGACAAAAGATTAACTTTTTTAAAGAAAAATTTTCTTCTCTCCAGGATAGGAAATGAGATGGAAGGTGTAAATGTCATGGTTCAGAATTAAAATAGTAATCTACTTTGTAAACTAAAATCTTTCATATATTAATTTTACATAAGACTAACTGATGTCTTCTATGTTATGTACTGTGTTTCCACCTTTGTACCTAAATTCTGATTCAAAATGTCTTATGAATTGGTGATTTAACATCTATATACATTGGCTCTTAGGCAGTACTGGCTTTTTAGCACTCATAAGCTACACTAGACACCCATACCATAGGGTATATTAACCCTGCTGAGACTCCAAATGTACCCTGAATACTGTGAAAGCTAATCAGATGAATGAGCCTGGCCTGCCACCTAGCATCTGCATCTGAGCAGGAGGTCATGAGGTTTTCTTCTACACTGATGCTTCATGTAACTTAAATCAGTTATTCTCCAACACAAGATGATAAAACTGAAAAAAAAAAAGGCCAAATCTTTATTGAAATAAATCCAGTGGGTAGGTCTGAGAAAGCACAAATCAGTTGGTTAGGGCAATAAGGGCCTCTACCACATTGCCCATGTGTTCTCTCAAGCTCCGCTCTGCTGCTGCTCGTGAGATCTCCATCTCTGTCATCTGCAGGAAAATGATTGATGGTGTTAACCTAACTCCTCCCAGGCATTAAAGAGCCACCAAGGTATGCTGACTCTACCTGTTGCAGTAAACAATCTAAATTAAGCAAATTAACCTCCCCTGCCCATACACTAGGTTAGGCATTACAACTCACTATCAGCTCCAGATCTTCCTTCTTGATAGTAACCTTTGCCAGTTCCTTCTCCCTGCAAATATTCATGTACATTAGTCTTCATTCTCTACCACAACTGCCCGGAAGGATCATTCCCAGCTGTGCCATACAAATAAATGATAAACACTGTTGAGTGAAAATACAAAGTGACACCCACCCCATCTCTATCCCTTCTGTAATCTTTACAGCAGACAGCAGGTGTTGCCATAGGCCTTTCCTTCCACCAATAATAGAGTGGAGTTGTAAATTTTAGATCTGCAGGAACCTGTGACAGAGTTGAACAGTCCAAGGTACAAAGGCTTAACGACTTTTATTTTTGTCTGGGGGGAAAAAGTGGGGCTAGTGGGGCTGGTTGGCTGGGTGCTTAAGACTTACCTTTCCTGTTTGGCTTTCTGCTCCCGGGACCGTCGGTCTCCAATCACCGACATGGCCTATGGGAAAAACAGATCCTGTTACTGCTCTGCTACCCACAATTCCCAATAATCCAAAAAGCCAATAAGCAGTGGGTCAGGTGTGTATTCACGATTATGACCTATCAGGAACAAAGACCTATATTTAATTCAATTCTGTGCACTTGAGGTTCATTTTAAACCCAATCTCCATCAAGCTCCTTGCGCAAGCGGCAGGCTCCGGTGACAGTTCAGTTTCCCTCTTGCCTCCTCCCGTAATGGGGATCGGGACCCGGATCTGGGGCTGAGCCACCAGTTACAGCGTCAGAGCCCCCTCTGCCCTCAGCCCGCCCAGACAGGCTCCCGGCCGACCTCACCGTCTCCAGATTGGAACTCTGGATTTCCTTCTCCTCAGCATAGTCGGTGACTCGCTCCAGGTCCGCCGCACCACTGTCATGCTTTCGTGGCTTCTCGGGAGGCCGCTCAGGACCACTGGTCTCGGTCTCCAATTCCAGCTCCACGTCCCCCTCAGTAGCCATACCGATCCCAACACGCCGCTGTTCAGGCCCCTCCCCCCATGACTTCCGGAATTTAACCCGTAACTTCCGCCCCGAGAGGAGAAGGCGGGACTGACCTCAGGCCACACCTTTATTAAAGCTATAGTTCTAGAAGCTTCAGTGAGGAAAGCCCGTTGCCTCTCAGGCTGCATTTCAGGCTTGTATAGTGAGAGTGGATTTTTTGCAAGGCTCTCTCCCAGACCTAGCCAGTCCCCACTCCAGACCTTCCCGACATCTTTCATGTCACCTAGATACCGCCCCCATCCCCGCGAGCAACACACACACCGCAGGTTGAATGTTGTCTAATTCTAAACCAATTAAGAATGCTAATCCACAGGTGGCCAGATACGCAAACTGCTCCCTACTGAGTGGCGGCCCAGCAGAAGGTAGTTTCACACAGATATTTGCATTTGCACATCCTGGAGGTTGGTGTTCTTTTCCTGAGGTCCCTGTCCATTCTCCCGTGGGCTGGGTGACCAGCCCCAGCACAGCCGCACTCCAGTGGGTTGAGGACTGAAGAAACTGCTACTTTCTCACTACTTTCCACCTGGTAGACTTGGGCCTAATCCCAAGGACAAGGATGGTGGGTTCAGAGCCCCTCCCAGGCCCTGGCGCTTCCCTCCAAATATGCAGTGGAGTCAGCAGTATCATAGTGAATCCTCCTTCCTATCAGTTAAGAGGGTACTTGAGCAGAGAGGCTTGAAGGCGCTGTAGAGCAAGAGCTATCTGGAAAAGCAGAAGGGAATCATGGCCAAAGCTGTAAGAAAAACCCACGGGAACCAATGGTAAACCTTTCTCTCCTCTGATGCCCTTCTGAATCATTGCCTGTAAGACTGCCGATGATTAAACCTCTCCTACCATGTTCCCAGTATCAGATGTTTAGGTCTGGGAAAAGCTTAGAGGCCAGATGTGACAGGCTTGTAGGAAAGTCTGCTCAAGCCTGCAGATAAGCTCTTAGGATGAAAGCTCTACTTATGTTAATGGAAGGCAATCCTAAATAGTTTGGAACCAGACATTTGAGAATTCCTGAATAAAAGGAGAGAAAAGGGAAAGGGTAATTTTGGAATTCAGCCTCATGGGTTCATCTCATACATACATTAAGCCTTTCCTCAGAAATTTCTACCTTGCTGCCCTGCATCTGTTGGGCCTGGTTCCCTGTACTGCTGCCGCCACTGTAGGTGGCCCCTTCTCTTGGAATCTACTTGCAGCTGCTGCTTCTATATCCTCCATGTGGGAACCTCAGCCATCTACTGCCTCCTGCTGCCAAGGACAGTAGTGGAAAGGGTCTGGGCCAAGGCACATGAGTTGAGTGGGAAGGTGTGGGTTTGCAAGTTGGTAAGAATAAAAGCAGAACTCTGAATTGGACAAGAGACTCAGACTGGGGGCAGAAGACAAATGAGTGGGCATACCCATGAGAAGTAGATACCTCTCTATGCATGATGACTTGCCCTGCCATTTCTCACATATATCCACCCTCCAGATCCAGGTGCCCTTGGGATTGTATGCCCATGTTTGGCCACTCTCACTGCCCAGTGTTCAGTGGCTCTGGAGCTGTGTACCACATCTGTGCAGGAACTGCCACCTTCCACCTGCTGCAGGCTCTTGCTGCTCCACCTCCATTCCCCCACCAGCCTGCAAGCACAGCTGCACAACAGGTTTGTGTGTATTCATTGGGTACAGTGAGGATGGGGAGGCAAGTAGACGCAAGCTAAGTAAAGGAAATTCTGAGATGAAATAATAACAAAGACAGAAAACAGGTTTAAGTCCTTGCTTCCACCATACTTGTGTAACCATGAGCCACACACCTCTTTGAGCTTCTAGTTTCTAAAATGGAGGCAACAGTGGGGCAATTATATGCAAACCCTTCATCAACCATAAAACATTGTCCAGATGTTATTTAGGTATCAGAATTTGCAACAGGCTGGAATGGAACAGCCCCTCTCACATGGAACTGGTTCCCCCTTTCCTATTCTTAGTTGTCTTTTCTCGCCCCTCTGCTTTCTCCTTTGCCTTCTCTCATAAACTCTTCACTCTCCTGTCTTTTCTTCTGAGCCTGGTTTTCCTTCCCTCCTGAACAGCTTCTGGCTCCTCAAGCTACTGTTCCTGCTAGGTCTCTGTGCTGTTGCCTTCTACATCTCTGATGAGCATCTCTTCCAGGTACCTTTCCATCTCACATCCTGATCAGTTACAGCAACCTAAAAGATTTCTAAGAAAAAGGGTAGGAAGGAGAGTCAGGAATGATATGATAGCTACATTTCCAACCAGTACCCTTTTAGCCTGGCATTACTCTGTCATCTGTAGAGGCTTCACATTCATCCTGCTGCAGCTAGTGCTTATCACAGCTTTTGCCCATTCCCGGAACAAGAACTGGTAAAGAGCACACACCCTAAGGGCTCTTCTTGAGAAGGTAGTCTTGACATTTTCAGTGGAGTTGGGCAAAGAGCAGAACAGGTCAGTGGTCCCACAGGTTCCCACTGAGCAGGATCAAGAAGCTTAGGAATGTAATGATTCTGCAGGCCAGGCAGGATGGTTAGTAACATGTCTTCTGCAAGAGGGGGAGTAACTGTTAATGGGTAAAAAGAGTTGGACCCCAAGTCATCGCCCTCTTTCCATCCGTAGGCAGACAGGTGCAGCTCAGGACTGCTGCTGGTTCCTAGCTGTGCTGCTGGCCACCCTAGGATTCTACAGCATAACAGGAGTGGCAGCTGTGCTCCTGTCCCACCACTATACTCCCAGTTGGCCGCCTGCTTAACAAGATGCTACTTAGCCTTGCACCTTTGTTTCTGTGGCTTCCTCTCCTTCCTATCCATCACTCCCTGCATTCACCTCGGTAGGTACGTGCCTTGCAATATTCCAGACTTGGTGGGGGGGTTGGGGAGGTTCTTCAGTATAGCGTATTTCATTAGATTCTCTGATCCCAGTCAATTCTCTGCCTACTCCAAAAGGTGGAGACAGAAGGACAGATAGGGGTAGGAGTGTTGGAAATTAACACCCTGTAAACTTAAGCAATGATCCCCATTCTCCTCAGGGCAACCCCATTCTGGCCTCCTACAAGCCTCTATCATCAGCTGCTTTATGACATATCTGACCTCCTCTGCACTATCCAGCCATCCTCCATAGTGGTAAAGACAGGGTCAGGACCCCATGTTAAAACTTTTTTTGCTCCTGTCAAATACCTAGCTCTATTGTTCTTACCATCTTTCTCTAACATTGTCCCTTCTCAGTAACCCTTCAAGGACAGAATCACACTCTGTGCTTGCCTGGATTGAGTGAAATGGAACCCCAAACACCAGATACTTCTCTAGCAGTGTTGAGTGCTGGCATCATGTATACCTGTGTGCTTTTTGCTTGGTGTGTAAAGGCGTCAAGGGGAGGTGAGAAGGGAGAATGCCCAGGACAGGGAGGGAGGGTCAGATTGTTTGGGACCATGGTTTA